ATTCACCCTCGCCGAGCCTCAACTTCTCGAATCCGCGAAGCTGCTTTGGCGGAGAAAGGGGCGCGCCGGCAGGGAGAGTGAGGTACAGCTGCGCAATCTCGGCGCCGGCGATGGATCCCGTATTCTTGATGGTTGCCGTCACGGTAGCGACGACCTCGAAGAGATCTGCGCGGCCGCCGGGGGCCACTTGGCCGACTGCTGGCCCGGACGTAGCTGTGGAGGTGACGCTGATGTCGGAATAGGTAAAGTTTGTGTACGCTGCATATTGTGTTAGCATGGCTTTCAGGTGAGAACCAGTATCGTCTTAGAGGAAGACTTACACAAGCCGAAACCAAACTCGTACCGCGGCTCGATGCCAGCCTGGTCAAAGTGGCGGTAGTCGATAAAGATACCCTCCGCAAAGTTGTCCTCAAGGGTCTTCGAAACCGCAGTGCCGTAGTCGGCAACACTCTTGCCAATCGTATACGGCAGCTTTCCATTGGGACTCGTCGCGCCCCAGAGGATATCAACCAGCGCATTTCCAGTCTCTTGCGACCCAAGTCCAGCCCACACGACAGCCTTGACACCAGGCTGCGCGAGGATCGTCTCGAGAATGATGGGTCCGACGCTGTGAACCACGACCACCACATTATCATTAACCGCCGCCGCAGCCTTGACGAGGTCGTTGCCGTTATGCCACGGGTCCAGCGTGTTGCGGTCGCCAATGTTGCCGTCGACGGTGATGTATCCCTCGCCCGAGTCCGACGTGACGAAGACGAATACCGCATCGGCACCAGCGGCCGCCGTGGCGCCCTGCTGCGCGTCGTCGGTGCTGCTGGCAGATACCTCTGTGCCATCCTGCTGCGCTCGCTCGCGGATCGCATCGAGCGGTGCGACGAGGTAAGGGTAGTCTACCGTTCCGGAACCCCATCCCATGCCGAGGGTGCCGTTGTTACAGCTGCGGTCGTAGCAGGCGTTGATACCGGCCGGGTTATTCACAGTCGAGGACCCGATGACAGCAATCTTCTTGGGCGCCTTGAGCGGGAGGATGGCACCCTCGTTCTTGAGCAGCACGATGCCGTCCCGCGCCGTGGCGCGCACGTTGTCCTTGTGCGTGCCCTGGACGTTGGCCGCGAGGTTGACGGGTGGGTACTCGCCCTGGTCCTGGCCAAGTAAATACCACGCCGCGAGGATCCTGCGGACTTTCTCCTCAATCGTCGTCACGGAGACGGTGCCGTTCTCGACGACCGTCTTGAGCTGCGGGCCCCACCATACGGACCCGGGATCGTTGTTGTAGTTCGCGTTGGGCATCATCATGTCCAGCCCGGCCTCGGCGCCGCTGACGGTGCCCGTGGTGGCGAACCAATCCGTCATGACGTACCCGGGGAAACCGAGTTCTTCTTTCAGAAGCTTGGTCATGACGGCGTCGTTTTCGCAGGCCCAGGTGCCGTTGATCTTGTTGTAGGAGCACATTACCGACGCGACGTTGGCGTGGACGGCCTCGGCAAAGGGCCAGAGGTAGAGCTCGTGCATTTCTCTGTCGCCGACGTTGCTGCTGATGGTCTCGCGGTTGAGTTCCTGTTCGTTGACAATGTAGTGCTTTGCTGTGGCTTGGACGCCTGCGGACTGCATGCCCTCGATTGTCTCCTTTGTTGCGATGCCCATAAGGTACGGGTCTGGGCCGAAGCCTTCCCAGTTCCTACCGGCGTTTGGTGTCTTTTCAGGTTTCGACAGTCAGTAATTTTCAATCTACGATAGTCTGCAGGGCGTGATCAACTCACTTTACCCAAAGCACCACACGCAGGGCCAAGCATAACATGCACACCAACACCCTTCGCCTCAGCAGCCTTGAACGCGCCCCTCTGCCGAATCATTCGACGTCCCACGTCGCAGCCGCCTGGATGCCCGGAACGAACGCCGTCACGCTGCTGGCGTAGCGGACGCCGAGGGGCCCGTCCTGGAGACAGAGCGAGGGGTAGTTGATGGAGGACGCGGGCGAGGTGTTGCCGACGCAGAGGCCTTTACCCCAGCCGATACCCGAGACGATGCCAATCTTTTCGTCGAGGGAAAGCTTGGTGATGGCGGCTTCGGCTTTGGCGTAGGCTGCGTCCCATTCTGGGGTGCGGAGGGGGGTACTGCCGCCCCCCGTGGAGTTTTGCGCGCTGGCAAGGGTGGCCGCTGCGGCGAGGAATGCGATCTTGGGGAGATGCATTATGGATGTAGGGAGTGTGAAGAACGGGTGACCGGGGAGGGGATGAAGGAGTGTGTAGAGCCTGGGCCTTGATCTTTATATACTCTCTACCCGGAGGTCTGAAGCTCATGAGCTTGGGAGCTCTCCTCCCCACTCGAGGGGCAGTGACGATCCGTACCGTTCAGTAAACCAGAAGTGTCCAGCCAAGCTGCCGAGGGTACGCATAAGAGGGAGAGAGGTCGTCATTCCTGCAGGGTCAATCTGCGTAAATTAGGCTCGGTATGTCCTGTGATCTCATGCCCCGTGGCAAGGACATGTCTGGTTCCGTGGGCGAGTTGGTTGGCGTGGTATAAATTACCAATTGGCCCCTTCATGTCTTGGCTCTGTGCGTCTACATTAAGGAGACAGCATTAGAGTTGAGCCGTTCTCCATAGTATTCAGTCGGGATGTTCGGTAGTAGTATCCAGCGGCTTGGTATTGATCATCCCTCCCAAGATCCATGGTAGGTGATTAATATTCAGTACGGAGTACCTATACGTAGTATCCGTTGACCACATGTTTTGTGCGTTCATCCCATAAAGTAAACCTGGATATGTGCCGCGAAGAAAACTCCGGCCACATCGCGGCGGCTGCTCCCCTCCGCTATGGGGAATGGGGACAAGATTGACTCGGAAGAAACGTCGAATTGCATTTGTCTCTCAGGTGACATTGACATTGCCGTAGGGTTGCATTCGATCTCTTGGAAGCCGGGGCATGATGTGATGTACATGATGGACACATGTAAATGAGGGGAAGGCTCCAACTTACTCATCGCTTTCTCAATCTTGTCCAAAAAGTATTCCCGCGAATGGACACCCGTCCAAAGGACGTCGGGCCGTCGACCGTGAGACCCAATGGCAACAGAGCGGTTATTTACTATCATTCTGAAAATCGTACACTGTCGATGATTATTCGCCAGAGAGCGAGTCCGGACCACGCCCGGTTGAATGTTGTGGTCCCCCTGAAGGCAATTAAATGACGTTGTGAATCTTAACTTATTAAATGCCGGCCCGCTTGCAACCCCGCGTTGGGATGCCCGCTCGGCGCCTCGCTTTTTGGGGGCCCCGGGGGGAGGGAACCACGGTGGGCGGAGACTTGACGCTCCCCTCATTCTTCTCCCATTCTAGAGGAAGAGGATGGATGAACTCTTCCGCATACTATGTACACAGTAATCATGTTGGAATTTCTGCCGCAATGACGATGGCGTGTCTACCACTTTGTAGCGGGGTGCTTCATTCGCCCTGTTGTGCTACTCACTTTTGCTGTTTAACCTTGGCTGGTTGTTACACGGAGGCTGGTTGCACACAGGACATGCGCAATGAGTTGACTCTATCTCGGAGCAGTCCTCTCATGTACAGATATCTGCACGATCACTGGTGAACCCAAAGATGAGCACCAACGTTTAAGGTTGTGCGCATGCTCGGCCTACTGCTACTAGAGATTGAAATGACCCTTTCGCGCGCATAACTCCCTGGACCTAGAGCAAAGAGGAGAGAAGGAAGTCAATCGAATAGGAATACTTCCATGAAACAACTGCCAGTAAACCTAATCCATCGCCCCTGAACTCTGCATCGACTGTGATGAGTTAACCCTGCATTGAGTTTTGGGAGTGAACATAGATGAGAGACGCACCAAATGCAATTGGGCGAACTGTACGGAGTACGCAAGGGCTAATTTGAGTTGACAGCAAGCACACCACGTACACCAAGTTAACAGATTCTGACCAAAGACGAGCGAAAGTCGATGAAACTAATCAAAAAGTAGGATTCCCACTGACGGAATGCCCAAAAGCATCAAAAAGTATATGAAGATGCGGCCAGTGTGGATTGAACACACGACCTTCAGATTAAGTGATTGAAGTTGACTTCAGTCTGACGCTCTCCCAACTGAGCTATGTCCGCCACGATCTTCGATGACAGAGTTACAGTTTGATGTTCTAAGTAGGAAAATGATCAGCTTCTTCGGCAAAAACGCGCTCAATTTCATGTCTTGCTGACGTTGAACAAAGAAGAAAGATCTAAGCAATGAGAGTTCTGAATTAGCTTTGAGTTGATTGAGTAAAACTCAACGCAAACAATCAACGAGTTGCAAGTTACCCTCTCACCACTGTAGCTGAATTGAGTCATCCACAGGCGCGCCCTCCGACTTAGCGGCCTACTGCGGAAACAATCACCAGGATGCCAATGTTGAGAGTCACACCTTTAACTGAGTTTACTGCAAGAAAGAAAATACTAAGTTTCAGTCTCGAGAAACTTGTCTTGTTTAAGAGCCCTCGAGCTTTATCTTGCTGAGTCTAGAGAATGCCCGCTCTCTAATTCACCGACTATCGGGGGGTTTTCGCACTCCAACCTTTGTGCCTCCATATCCGTAGGTCAACTGAGCCCGCTGGAACCTGAGATCCTCATCAATATTGGAGTTTCATGATGCAGAGCAGGATCGTGATCTTACGCATATTACAAATCAACTCAACTCCAAGACGGTATACCAGCCATTTCCCCGTCCCTCGTCTCGAGAACCAAAGGTGACTCAGCCAAACAATCATCGGTTAGACTCGGTCGGCGCATGATTGCTCGCTCTCGTTCCGCCCTTCACTAAGCTTAAAATTCCGTTAGACCCATCCATTGTACATGGTCCGCGCCCTACGGACAACATGTCGCAGCACGCAGAGGTGTCAAGCGGGTCGCTGCGGGCCAGCCAGTCCGATCGAGGGCTCATGCTCCGGGATGCGGAGGTGGACGCGGCTCGGCTCCCGCTCTTGTTTGGACTTAATCTTGTCTTGCAAGGGGTTAATAGATAAACCCAACTACCACTTGTGAGTCAATGGCATCTTGAAGTACGACTCACGTTCGAGAACAACAGTAGTATAAATAACATTAGATTGGCCATTGTTATAGAGTCAATTGATTCAAAACATCTTCATCTTGATTCAATTCATTCTCGTTCGGTGCAAGCCTTATCATTGCAGAGTCTCCGGCATCTCGTTACCGATATCATCACCAACAACATCATTCATCACGAATCATCATCTAGAACCTCACACATCATGGGCGAACTCGCCGAAGAAACAAGCAAGCTCCATCTCGGCTCTACGCCGTTTGGCAAGCCCATGTTGCAAGAGTTTCTCAATGATCCAGCTTATCACAACATGAACAATGGTACGGCTTTCGCAACTCCACCTCAGAGCGATGATAACCCATTCAACCACATCTCATGCTTAGTTCACTAACAACCCACCAGGCTCATTCGGCACCATCCCACGCCACATCCGCCAAGTCCTCCGTTCCTACCAAGACGAAACCGAGGCCCGTCCAGACCCCTTCATCCGCTGGACCTACCACGACCACCTGCGAGAATCCCGCAAAGCCGTATCCCAAATCATAAACACCCCCCTCGACAGCACCGTCTTCGTCCCCAACGCCACAACGGGCGTCAACACGGTCCTCCGCAACCTCGCCTGGGCCGCCGACGGTCTCGACGAGATCCTCTACTTCTCCACAATCTACGGCGGCTGCGCAAAGACAATCGACTACATCGTCGACACCCGCTACGGCCGTGTCTCGGAGCGCGGCATCCCGCTCACGTACCCCATGGAAGACGCCGACATCGTAACCCTCTTCCGCGAGACCGTAGCAAAATCCCGCGCCGAGGGCAAACGCCCGAAAATCTGCCTCTTTGACGTCGTTACCAGCTTACCCGGCATCTGCTTCCCCTGGGTCGCCATGACCGCCGTCTGCCGCGAACTGGGCGTCATGAGCCTCGTCGACGGCGCGCAAGGAATCGGAATGGTCCACCTCGACGTCGCGGCCGCCGATCCGGATTTCTTCGTGTCGAATTGCCACAAGTGGCTGCACGTCCCGCGCGGGTGCGCCGTGTTTTACGTGCCCGAGCGGAATCAGCATCTCATGGCGTCGACGGTGCCGACTTCGCATGGGTATGTGCCGCGGTCGGGGCAGGTGCGGTTTAACCCGCTACCGGCGAGCAAGGATTCGCTGTTTGTGACAAATTTCGGGTTCAACGGGACGTTTGATAATAGCCCGAATTTGTGTGTTAGGCATTCGATTGAGTGGCGTCAGAGTATTGGTGGGGAGGAGAGGATTGTCGAGTACCTTCAGACGTTGGCCAAGAGCGGCGGTCAGAAGATTGCTGCGATTCTTGGGACGTTTATTCTGGATAACAAGAATGAGACGTTGACCAAGTGCGCCATGGTTAATGTTGCGTTGCCGATGGTGACGGGACCTGCTGCAGAGGTGGGTTCTGATGGTACGGTCACTGTTCCCGAGACGGAATCCGGAGCTGTTGGGGCCTGGCTTGTGTCCAAGTTGATGAGTGAGTACCAAACCTTCTTGCCGATCTACAGGCACGATGGCCGTTGGTGGGTCAGGGTGAGTGCGCAGATCTTCCTCGATGAGTCCGACTTTGAATGGACCGGGAACATGTTGAAAGATCTGTGTGAGCGTGTGGGCAAGGAAGAGTACAAGACGGAGGAGAACAAGTAGAGGAGAGAGGAGATGCCCGAGACGTTGGGAGAAATAATTCTTTTTTATATCACAATGCCATTCATTTACTATGCCGGCTAGAGAGCTCAGAGGATATCTAAGCTAGAATGAGATTCACCATGTAGTCCCGCAAATCATCCCGATAAGGGGGGAATAAGACAAAAAAAGATCTCTCTGTAGTCGTCCGTCTCAGAAGACGCCCATGACCATGGCGATTAACACGGCTTGGAGGACGACCATTAACCCTCCCTTGGCAGCCGCCGACCTCTCACTACCGGACGTCGAGCCGGCGTTGTTCATGTTGTTCTCCCTGGACATCAAAAAAAGTGAATCCTAATGCCAAAAGAAGTAAAGTGTGGTTCGCACGTGTGTCAATGCTTACGCCGCTGCGCCAGCGCCAGTCGCGGGTGCTGCCGCGGGTTGACTGTTGACGACGTGCTCGGCCATGCCGAGGGACATGTTTCCACCGTTGAAGGCAACGAATTGCGACTTGAACATGATGTCTCCGTAGATCTGAAGCTTGGAGGTGGTTGCCTGGAGGCCACCGAAGCAGGCTGCAAGTGTGTTAGTTCGAACTTCATAGCAGTATTGGTATGTTGTAGATGTCACTTACTCTGAGCGTCAACCTGGGCAAAGTTGATATCGGCACCCTTGACACGGGCCATGTAGACACCGCCGATATCCATCATGAGATCGGGAAGCTGGGCGTTGCAGGGGAAGGTGATGCCGCCGACCTGCTGGTCCTGCTTGGCACCCTGGACCTGCTGGTAGTAGGCCTGGACCATGGGGGGGTTGGCGAGGATGAGGGTGGTACCGGTGTCGGCAATGGCCTGAGCACCGGCGGTGCCCTGCTGGACCTGACCGCCGGCAACCTGGAACTTCTCACTGCCGAACTGCCAGAAACCACTGGTGGTGTTGACGGGGATCCAGGCCATCTGGCCGGTGAACTTGGTGTTGTCGATGCGGCCAAACTCGTAGGCACCGACGGTCTTCTTGCGGAGATCAGCAGTGAAGACGGGCTCGGCAAGGCTGGGCATGACATTGTCGAAGAAGGTCTTCTGGGCCGTGGGCTTGACGGTGTTCAGCTTGGAGAAAGCGAGACCGAGAAGACCGTTGTTGGCAGTGTCCTGGACGAACTGCTGGGAGACGGCGGTGGCCATCTCGACTGCCTGCTCCTGAACGACGGCGCCACCAATGTCGACGACGTCAGTTCCGACGACACCCTGAGCACCGGAGCCATCACCGTATCTGATGGAGAACTGCTGGCCTGAGAGCATCTTGGCGTTCGTGCTCTTGGTAGGGTCGTACAACTGGTGACCGGTCTGGGACGTAGCGTCGAGCATGGAGGTGAAGACCCACAGGTCGGAAGAACCACTGTCGAAGTCGACGTTGACCTCCTGGCCACCAATCTTGATGGGCGAAACGTACTCGACGTCGTTGCGGATCGGGGTGGCGGTGACGAGACCGGTTCCGGGTTGCCCAGCGGCGGCGGTCTGGTTCGTGGCGCCGGCGGCGAGAGACTTGAAGCCCTCGGACTTGACACTCTCGGCCTTGACGGGCTCAGGGTTCTGGGCGGCCATGGCATCCATGGCGTCCTGCAGGCCCTGCGGGATGGGCATGCTGAACTTGCGGTACGCCTTCATCAGCTGTCTCGGGCCATTGTGACCGGCGAAGTTCTCGTTGGGCACTCTGGGGACGAGGAAGTGTCCTCGCTTTTGGATATTAGCGCGCTTCTCGACCGGGGAGGCGTCGGCAAAGGTCGATAGGAGGCCGTAAAGGACCAGCGACCGCAATGAAGTTGATTCCATGTTGTTTGTGATGTGAAAAGACGTCCGTCACCAGGTAGACAACTCTAGGAGCAAAGGGTAAAAAAAACAGGCCACACCAGGCGGCTCTTTTGCTTGTTAATGAGAAGGACGAGGAGCTGTCACCAGGGAGCCCTCAAAAGTGTAAAAAGAGAATTAAACAAGAGTCGTCGTGAATGAACGGAACTGGTGACGGGGGGGGAAAAGGAATAGAGGATGGCCAAGTAGAGAAGAGTAACCCGGGTCGGAAAAGAAGAAGAAGAAGGTGGTGGACAAGGCCGAGTTAATGTTCAAAGTAGGAAAGTCAAGAGATGGCGACTGGGCCGGCTCAGGAAGCGAGGATTATACATGTTGCAAAAAATGGGACGACGACGTCGTGCGCTCGTTGCTTGGAGGCTCCAGGCGAGCCAAGTCTCAAGTTGTGATGCCCTGGTCACAGATTGTCCCGCTCAGCAAGGGGGCGTGCGCGTCCATGTCAAGCCGGGCCAACCCTGTGATGGACGGATCTGGCGTCGAACCGGTCGAACCACTGCAGAGTCCTGACTGAGAGCGAAGGCGAGGAGAAGAGCGAAGCCTGGAAGGAGGACGAGGAAGACGAGGGGAGGGTGTGTGCGCTTCCGCCTGGGATCGGGGTTCCCTCCCGTCAGTCAGGACCCAAGACATGAGTTGCGGCAACGAGGTGGATCTTGGTAGCATGTTTGGAATTCTGCGAATACGTCGAGGAGAAGATCGGTCACAAGCAGGGGAGTCCCCTTACCCCACAGTCGACCAGGCCGTGATCCAGAGCAGGGATACCGGTCGATCGGTGCCGGGAGGCTAGCGCAGGGGAGGAGGGGGCAAGGGGGGATGTTGAGTTGTGTGTGTGGGTGTGGACGTGGATGGTGTGCATCTCTCTCTTTCTGTGTGGCGGCTCTGGCCTTTCCCATGCTCGCTTTCTGTTCGCAACTATGCGCAAGCCCGTTGAGGTAGGTCTGAGTGAGAGCCAAGAGATATCGTGCTTCGGATGTAAAGTCTCATGGGGCCATGGAAGCTGGCGAGCCGTTGATCTGAGGTCTCAATTAGCTTATTTCGAACCATTTAAGCGTGGTTGATTTGGCAGGTTGACAATGCGATATGATCCCGGTCCTCCTTTCAAATAACCAACAGACAGGACAGGCTACGGGAGTAGCAACACCACCACCACCACCACTTCAGTGTGCACATGTACGTTTGGCGCCCGGCGGCGAAGAGAAGTAAAAACGGTAAGACGAGAGCGCTGTCAGATCTCCCCTAGCGCCGACGCTCTCTCTGCTACAAGGCTTAAGTGCCGTGGGCTACTGCGAGAAAGACACAAACTCGCCGCAGCCAAGCGGATGCTAGTCCTCGGGCGATGTTCTCGGGTCCAGCTAGCCGGGCCGTTGCATTTAGACCAGTCCTGGCGCAGATGGCCAGACAAGTTGCTCGTCACCCCTTCTTCAGTCTCCACTGGACGGCGACGGTGAGCCGAACTTGGCTTCCGTTGATCCAGAAGTCTAGGTCAAGTAAGCGTGGCTAAGCATTTAGACGACGTAGCAGGTAGATGTGCGGCCCACGCATGTTCCCCACAGGCCTTATTCCAATTATCAAATTGGATGCTGGATGCCGGCAAGCTGTCGAGTTGGGGCGGCTTCTTCATCAGACAAAACACTGACAAAGAGGATGGCGAATATCCGACGATGGGCGAGAGAGAGAGAGAGAAAGCAGTAAGGTCAAGCAAGCATGGTCCGTATAGGCTATGGACTAGATGGTGCTATTCTTGGCGCCAAACGTCGAACAGGTAACCCTTCCACGCTCTCGAGAACGAGCCGGCTGTCTAGCCCTAGTCGGTTGGAAACGAAAGGCAAAAAAAGAGAGGGAGTTTTCTTTGACCGACATGAACAAAACAGCATCATCCCCTTTTGAATCTAACATCAAGGGGGGTCTGGCAGGGGAGGGGGGATCGAGCGCGGGAGAGCGGCGAAGGATGTGAGCGAGCATTCGAGGGTGCATTCGAAAGAAGGACGAGGAGTGTATCCCGGATTAATCTCGTCATTGGACCCCTCTGGTAAGTCAGCGTTCGCAGTTGTTTCCGCTTGGCGTTTCAGCGATCCCCATGGTTGCTCTCCCGTCACTAGCTAAGCCTCGCGGCGCTTGGCGCAGTAGCGATGTGTCTGCAATGTGACTGCTGGGCAGAGTAAGACTTTTGCCAAGGGCGATCTGGTCCCACGGCCTCCATGTTGCGGCCTGCGTAGCGTGGCTAAGCTTTGGGTGTTGCGGAAGAGGAATACCGAACATAATTAGGTCGAAGGGCCTCCTATCGGACGAAGGAGAAACAAGTGCCATTGCTGAAGCCAAAACTGTCATTGTTTGCGGACCTCGGATACGCCCCGGGGATAGGCAGGCACAGGCTCAGTCACAGTCAGACCGTCAGGTAGACCGTAGTAGCCCATCGTTCTCGCGTGCGCCTTGTGGCAGACAGACAGACAGAACTAGACAGCTGACTGACGGGGCCGCCTCCCGCCGCATAGCTTGGAACAAGCTCCTGTTCGACTAGGCCTCATCTCCCTTGATTGGATTCTAGTTTCTTTCTGACCATGGTCTCCGCGAGGAAACAACCCCTTGGCCATGCGATGACTAGTTCAGGAGAAGGCGGTTTGGGGTTTGAGGTCTTTGGAAAGGCTGGCGAAAAGACAGGGCAATATCGGCAAGGTCGCTGACGTAGTCACGGGTAAACGGCGCGCCCAACGTGGTTTCTGATCAACGCGTGATCCGGGTTGGAGTCAGCGAGAGACAACGGAGACAACGAGACCCAATCGGTCGATGGTGGCCAGAGTTGTCCAGGCCAGACCAAGTTCTGTTGGCGGCTGTTGATGCTGGCTGGCAAGCTGTAGCAAGCAAAGAGACTGCAGGAGACGGCAGCGATTCAATGGTGGACTCGGAGAAGCCCCAGTTGCCCCCCTCCTCTCGAGTCTCGAGAATCGATGAGTCCTCCCTGAGTTCCTTGTCTACTGGGGGTCCTCGTGGATGGTCGTTGAGTCCAGTCTTTCTGTCGAGTGAGTGGACAGGCTGACAGGGCCTGAAACGGTCCACTAGAGATTCTGAGACAGAGTTGTGCGGCGGGATCCCAGCAGTAAAACTCCGAGCGGCCAAATGTTCCGAGCGGCACATGTGCCACAGCGCCCTGGGCGTAGGGTGGGGTCCGTAGGGTACGAAGTAGTGGTGAAGTA